ATGAGGAAATCAAACTTCAAACTACTCTTGATGGTCTTTACTATAGTTGTGGATCACAATTGCTACCAGAAGATCATGAACTTTCAAAGCATTTAAGTATTAGACTAAATCTTACCTGTGATTCTCCTATTGAATCAACATATTTTTCATGGCGCCTTAAAAGGTTTGATATTTGTTATTGGTGTGGAGAATCTATAGATCTTATTAAACCTTCTGATACATTGAAAAATGAATAGAAAACTATATATTCATTATGTTTATTTTGTAAAAATAATGGAAAAACATGGCATAAAAGGGTATCTAAAAAGTTTAATCAATTAAGTAGTACCAAAGAAAGTAGTAAAACTAATACTACAAATAAAAAACAAAAAACTTAATGTATGAATTATACAATATATTTTATTTTAGAAAAATAAACATTTATATTAACATTTTTCTTTAATTAATATTAAGACTTAAAAACAATTTCAAATTCTTAGTTGAGACAAATTCTGGTTAAAATAAAAAATAAATAATATTCTGGTAAATCATCTTTAGATTCGACTTCAACCTAATTTATGTTCTGATGAATCTAAGTTTGGTTCACCTGAACCTAGTTTAATTTTATTGTTTGTTTAATTTTTTCCCCTCCCCCCATACAAATTTTTTAAAAAAATAATGTTAAACAAGGTTTTAATTTCAAGTCGCCTAATTATAACAATACACGTCAAATATTACGGCATATCGATATGTCAACTGTTATGGCATACGCATAATGTTAAGGTATAAGTTATGTTTCTTGACGTATTCGTCATATCTCAAGTTATGACCACCAAGATCATTTATGTACATACGGAGTTTAAATACATATAATTTAATATAATAAAAATTTCATAACAAAATCACAAAAATTCGTAATATTAACAATTAGATGGTTATACTAGAGGAGCTCAAGTTACGGCTGTCAGAACATTAAAAAAGTTACGTCACTGACCATATTTCTGCGTACCTAGAAAATGTATACCAAGGTTGAGATATATAGGATAACTTTCTCGTGATTGGTTGATCACACAAAATTGAATAACACGTTACAATTGGCCATCATCAGCAAAATTTAAAAGGTGCTATATATCGATAGTAAGATTTGATAGTTAAAAGAATCATTTTTCTTTGTTTTCAGGTAAAAATTCTTCAAGTGATATAATTT